TTAGAGCTGAAGAGGGCACTTCCCAAGAACAAACACACCGGGGGTTGTTCTTCACCAATCTCAAATAGAACCGAAGGCCATTTCACAACTGTTTTAAATGCTGGTTGAGGGCAATAAATCCTCCTTTTTCCAGCCCCTGTAGATATTAAAGTAGCACGGGTGATGCCAAGAAAATACACCAAGTTAGCTGGTCCCCAACAGGATCTGACCGAGACTGGTTTTTGTATTGCAACAGCTGATAAAAGTTCAATTTCTTCCCTTACCTTAGCCCAGTATTAGAGACTCTCTGAAGTTTTAATATCACTGTATTGCAAACGCTGCCTTGCAGCCTCATTTCTAAGCACACGTTAAAATTCCCCATTTCAAGGGCCTGATTTTCAGCCCAGCCTTAACCGGGTGCAATCCCCACCTACATAAACACCAGAAAGAATATTCAGACTCTCAAATCCAGTAGAAATTATCACTGCAACATTGCCTATGCCCCTGTTCCCCCTGCGGTTTTTCCTGTGTAAAACCAGAGACCACGGTTCGGAAACTCTGACCTTTAGTGAGTACACAAACCGAGCTGGCAGATTGCATCAAATAATACACTTGGAAAGGAGATATGCAAAAATAACAGAGCCTCTGAAAATATGTTTGAACTTTCAAAAACCACATTAAAAAGCCAGCAAAAACAACAGCTATGGCTACACGTTCACTTACCCCACCATAAACCATACCCTAGGAACCAGGCCCTCCTAGCAGCTCTGCCCTGGACACAAACCGATCCAAATCCTCCAGACGCCTTCAGCCGTTCCCCAGATCCTCACTCTCCACTTCCAACACCGATTTCACAAGGGGGTTTCTTCCCACCTCCCAGCCACTTTTCCTTCGAATGCCGTAGCCTCACGTGTGCGCGTCCCTGCCCCGCTCTTCTGGTTAATTCTGGCAATCTGTATTTAAATTCAAAGCAGACAAGTGAGTATTCATGCCTTAGGGGCTCAAGCTTTCGCTGGCAATAAGGCTGTTTTAATTCCTACAATACCAGGAAGAACTGCAGCGATTTTGGGTCTTGCAGGACTGGGCTCTGGCTTTGCGAAACGGAAAGCCAAAACCAACTGAATCCTGAACTCCAAAGCACAGAGTTCTTACAGCAACTGAAGTGTTGTGTCTTTTAAATTAATAATCTGAGCTAACTATGGGAACACAGCAATGAGCTCATTGTTTTAAGCCCAGGGCTTTAGTAATGGTGCTGACATTACAAGTGAGGTCTCACCGCGCAGCCTGTTCGATAAACAGCCCTGCAGTTCCCCGGTTTGGTCCAGAGCCCATTGAAATCCATGAGCCTCAACAGCTGCTCCAGCAACAGCAGCGTAGCAGCAGCCTCAGGTGGTCTCACTCAATAAATTCAGGAAGCTGTTTTGGGAGAAAATTGCTCCAAATGTCATCCACTTCAAAAACAAAAGATGCACAGGACTGCAGGAGGAGCACATTTCCTTGTCTGCACGTTAGTACGCATTTCTTTTATTTGTTGTAACTTCATTTTACTTTATTTTCCCCTAAATGTTGATGATAACTTAGAGCATCTTTTCACCCACGGAAACTATAGGAACTGTGCCTTGCTGACCTGCCTGGAGTTAAATGTATTTCTAGACGCAAACCATAGCACCCCGCGCTTGCCGTTTTTACCGCCTGCTTGTGCCGAAGGTGTCCCAGCGAGAGCAGCTTTCAGGCATAAAGCTTGGGGACAGCACAAAAAGGAGGGCACTGCCGTGCAGGCTGCGGAAGAGCTGTGCAAAACTCCCTTGCTAGCCCAGGACCACAAAGATTCAGTGGCCAAAACGTCTCCCATCACAGCAACCGAGAAAGAAACCAAATGTGCAGAAGCCCTGACCTCACTCTGTGGGTTCTTCTCCTGAATGTTCACAGACTTGGATCCTAAAAAGCATTCTCCACCTCGCCCACCAAAGACAGCCAAATCTGTCTCTTCATAGCACCGTTATTTATCCCTGAGAGCTCCGACATCCCTAGAGGTCAGCATCACCTTTGCCATTTACCGCAAGAACGTCTCCACACAAATCGCTAAAGAAAGTCAGCTCAAATCTTGCCTAAAAATCTGGTTTCATCCCCACAGAAACAGAACACGTTTGCAAAACGGACAGGTTTACAGTGGAATTTGAAGCTTCTGACAGATCAGTGCACCCCTGGCTCACGCTGTGGCTGGGTTTGGACACCGGATGCTCTTATGAAGTCCAACACTCCATGAAGCACCCAGCACAAGCACATGTAAAAAGCATCCCTTTTCAAGACTCAAAGTGCCAAAACCTGCATTTTCTCTTCCAGATTAACTGAAAATCTAAACAATTAAAATTAATTTTGTTAAGGTTGTGAAGTTTATTTTGATTTGGTATCTTCAGAAGGGAAACTGCTCATTTTTAGAGCTCACTTGGAGCCATATGCTCACCTGCAAAGGCAATCCTGTCTGCAGCAGGAAAACCCACACGAAGTCAAGTTTATTAAGGTCAAGTCTATTGCTGCAAAACTGGGCTGCTGGTGGGCAGATCTGAAGTGGGGGAGGTAGCAGGGTTATGCTTGAAAACGTAAATCAAGGCTGTAACTGCAAGATTAGAGAGAAACTGCCTCCAAAACTGAGCACAGCCTCTTTCAGCAAAACAGGAAAGAAAGCCAAGAGAGACATTTCCTCACCCACCTCAGGTAATCCCGTAAGCTTTGGATTAAATTGCTTGTTTTAACTGCGCCTCTTAAAGCCTCCCAGCTGATGTTCTGACCCAGTGACGGCTGGACAGCTAAAAACCAAGTTGTGGTTGTCTGCAATAGAAGCTGTGGGCATCAGGCTATGAAGATCACCCTCCAGGCTTCACCAACGGGAACGGTGCAAGCTACGTTTTAGAGGACACCTTCCCATTCACAAATGTTTCTGAAGAGAGAAGTGAACTGTGTCAGAAGGCAGCAATGCCTTTAAAACACAGCGTGACACAGATCAGTGTTTGCCTCTTTTACTACTTCTGTTACCAGAGATCAGTCAAACTGGTTTGTTGCAAGATTTGTAAGTACAGAATCAGTCTCCAGTAAGTGGTCTCCTCTGGCCTTCCAGTTCTACATGTGGCATTAACACTTCCTAGGCATTTCCTGTTTACAAAGTGAACACTTTTTTCCCCATCTGAAATATTCTCCTGCGAGCAGAACAACTCAGACAGCTTCAAAGCAGCCCAAACACACCAAGGTACCACGTTTTGTACAGTGACACACTTGCACCATGCCACCTGGGCCGTGTGTTTTCCTTTGTGGAAGTAGCTTATCTCAGAGGAAACGGAGGCAGCCTATTAATTATTATTAATGAATGTCTTGGGAGACAATCATTGTTTTGAAGGTGTTTTAGTTATTTATAGCAGTTTCCAAATCCTGGCTACAGCTCAGGAAAATAACCTCAGTTTACCAGTGATAATAGGACTTCAGTCTCACCCCATTTTGCTCAGCAGGTATCCAGGGAAACGGACACTTCAACACGCCTGCAGACTGCTCTGCTATAGGGCTTTTTCAGTTAAACCAGGTTTCTACAGACTAACAGCTCACTTTCGGATAGGGATTCTCAACTCGGCATCTCAAACACTTGAAAAAGCAGGCAAGGCCACGCTGTCCCCGTTTGCAAACCACAGAGGATTATTTAGGGATCATCATTAGACCAGAGCCGGGGGACAAAAAGGAAGCGACCAAAGGTACAACTCAGCCCCAGGTCCGTGCCGCGGCCTTTGACTCAGCCACCTACACAGTTACCGAAATACCCACGCCTCCGGGGTTACCTCTCGGAGCCCTCACACCCTCTCGGAGCGGGTGCTCTCAGACGGCTCCTGCCGACGTCCGGCATCGCAGCGCAGCACGGCATTAGCAAAATGTGTCCTGGTACTGACCAAATAATCTGGAGGATTCTGCAGAAACCGCAAGCGCTTTAAAGGCTTTCTTGGCTGGAAATAAACGTTTTTAATGGTCGTCTTCGCACTGTGTAAACCAACAATCGCAGCTGCCACGCCTCCGCCGTGCTGCATCACTGCCACCTCGCCCCCATGCACCTTCTCACGCCAGTTTTGGTTCTCTCGCTCCATCAACTGAAAAGGCTCTTCCTCAAATAACAGGTTAGTAATGGTACATTACCATACGGAACAACGCATGATTATAGCTTCCATGTTTAACTACATAAATAACAGAGCAAAACAAAAAAAGTGCTTAAAACATTTGCATCCACTTTGATTTCAGCCAGTAAAATCAAACTGTCCTCTAAATACGTGAGTAATACTGAATATGTACTTTCTTTCATCTATTTCCGATAACCTTGCAGGTTTTTCCCCTGCTCGTTGCTGACAATTCAGTAGGTAACCATGCCTCTGCTCCATGAAGTTACCATCGTTTTTCAGCTGTCAGCTCTACCCCACGGCACCGCAACTACCAACAGCTTCCCCTAGAACTTTCTGCATGACATTGCGAGTCTTCTCCTCATGCTGCTTAAAAAGTCGTGGGCTGTGGTGGGTTTTTTTTTAATTAAAAAAATGCTGAATATAAAAATAACTGTCCTTAAAGCAACAGCTTACAATATCTAAGAGCTGCTAATTTTGCTGAGTAAACCAGAGGAAACCAAAAGTTCATTTTAAAAAATACAGATGTATTACACTAAATATAAAATTGAAAGCAGAATGAAACTGCATAAGACCTTGACATTCCCAAGGAGCAGATTTCTCACCCCATGTGCACCTACGGATTTTGGCTTTCACACAATTAACAGCTATGTTTTAAAACATAGTGTCAGTTAAATTGTGCCGTGTACTTCCATCCCATAGGATACTTGTTTTGCCCAGAGTAACACCGCTCTAAAGAACGTATGCAAGTACTGCAGACCAGTGCAAGTGAAACCATTCCCTAATACGACTGCAGCTGAACATGGGAAGGATTTAGTCCAGCGAAGATCCTGCTTTGCAGGGACTGTTAAACTGACTGGCGTTTAACAGTCACATACCAGCCCTAAAAGGTAACTGTGTGGTTCATCCTGGGAAGAAAACACCGGTGGGAGCAGGTCTGCCCAGACAGCCATAATTTTCTTGCTGTAAACTCTTGCAGTGTCCCTCAGGAAGTGGCAGGCATTATATGAGTCTAGAACTTTTGAGAAACTGAATAAGAACTCCATAGACGAAGGTGTACTGCGAAAGCGTCTGCACCATCATCATTCTCTGCTGCCTCAACATGTCCAGCACCCGTGGGATGTCCAGCATCTGGAGGAGGAGAACAAACCATTGCAAGTGACTCGTGAGTGAGGGGACTGGCTTATAGCATCATAGAACCACAGAATATGAGGAGCTGGAAGGGACCTGGAAAGCTCCCCCAGTGCAACCCCTGCCAGAGCAGGGTCACCAGAGCAGTCACACAGGAACACGGCCAGGGCTTTGGGTGTCTGCAGACAAGGAGACTCCACAACCTCTCTGGGCAGCCTGGGCCATGCTCCATAACCCTCACACTCACAAAGTTTGGCCTCATCTTCAGCTGGAACCTCCTGTGCTCCAGCTTGGGACCATTGCCCCTTGTCCTGGCATTGGCCATCCCAGAGCAGAGCCTGGCTCCTTCCTCCTGACACTGCCCTTTCCCAATGGATCCCCAGGAATGAGGGCACCCCTCAGTCTCCTCTGCTCCAAGCTCAAGAGCCCCAGCTCCCTCAGCCGCTCCTCAGCAGGAGATGCTCCACTCCCTCCAGCATCTCTGTGGCCCTGCTGGACTCTTTCAAGCAGTTCCTGTCCTTCTGGAGCTGAGGGCCCAGCACTGGACACAAGATTGCAGCTGTGGTGTGAGCAGGGCAGAGCAGAGGGGCAGGAGAACCTCTCTGCCCTACACCCACCCCTTCTCATCCACCCCAGGATGGCGTTGGCCTTCTTGGCTCAAGGGCACATTGCTGGCTCAAGGGCATCTTTCTCAGCAGGATGTTCAGAGCAGTACCAGTGATCTAAGGGCAGAATGAACTGCTCTGAGTTCAGCTCTGACAAGTCATTGCCCGTGCCTGCAGTATGGACTGCACTACTCCACTGACCATGCCTACCTCAGCTTTCTCATCTGTGAAATATGCATCATTTTAAGCTCGCCTATCTCCTGGGGTATGGGTCTTCACAAATCTAATGGCTGCAAAAGTCTGCCATGTGGGTTAGGACAGGGATACACAACGAAACAATCAGTTTTCTGAGTCTCAGCTGGCATATTACATTATTAATAAGCACTTTACAACTGTTCACTTTGGGCTAAAAGCTGCCAAGACCAGGTTTCATTCTATTAAACTACTGCTTTGTCCTCTGCTGAGACTGATACTGCAAATACTACTATACTTAGGAATGAAATATTTAATAGCAAGCACAGAGACTGGTTAGAGAGCATGTGCTTGAATATTATCCATTAAAACTAACGCATGAAGTAAAAAAGGTGAAGTCAAGGCGAAATCCTGAAATATGCTTTAGTAGCCTAGGGCACACCTTGTTCCACTCAGTGACTCAACACCTTATGTAGTCAAGGATCCAAATGAACATTCAGTACCCAGTGTGCAAGTGGGCAACTTGAGATTATTATTAACTTCTGTTGAATTGCCAAGAGCTCTTTCAACCATAGTTGTTAGGGCTCTTCCCAAGGCCACATCTTAGGCAAGCTCAGATGAACAGCCATAAACGATTTATTAGGCAGGTTATTTACTCCTCCACTACCTACCATTATTTAAAGCACGAGAAAGAAAAACAGGTCACCTCATTGTGTTCCAAGCAGGCGATCATGATCTCTGACAGTATGACCACTCCTGTCCGTCCTACTCCTGCACTGCAATGTACCAGCACAGGAGGATTCGAGTTCTTAGGATCCGCAGTGCTGTTCGTATGGCGCCGCACTGACTGTATCTCTTCCAAGTAGGCTATTAAGTTCAACAGGATAAGAATGACAAATTTAGGAGATGAAGCCCCATTAGCCGTGCTATCACACTGCATGACCACCAGAGAAGTGGCAATTTAACAAACAGCCCACAGAAAAATGACATGCTGTATAAATCCCAACCAAAGCAATGCAGATCTATGAAGATCATCACTCCCGTAAGGCTTTCCTTACCTTGTTCCCCTATTACCCACCAGATTGGCTTGTGGTCATCTTGTTACTGCTGGAACACACTCAAATGTGTAGTATGTGATGCAGTTAGGTTTTAATCTGCATGACTTTTTACTAACTCATATATTTGGCTTTAGACATAAACAGTCACTTTAGCAAACTGGCAGGTATAGTCCTGCCAAAAACATAGTTCAGTATCTCCTGCTGGTGTGAAGAAACCTATTTCAGCAGAATGCTTGGTTAGCAAATGCTAAAACACACAGAGCAGCCACTTTAGGAGGTATTAAAAAAACCAAAACAAAAACCAACTCCAAAACAAAGCTATTAAATAGAACTTACAGAGAAATCCTTTTAAATCCTCTGGGCAGCCGTGCTCTGGCCAGTCAGTATACTGCAGGTGCCAAACTGTTCTCTCCTGTCCTGTGAGGAGATGTTTAATCTTCAAACCCGTAGTTGCGTAGCAGCCCGAGTCTGTACGGAATCGCGTGGTGATCTTAAATCTTCCGTACGTCACCGTGTTGTGTCTTGAGCCAAGCCGTGGCCAGTATCTGAAACTTTTTTCTCGCCCGCTTTCCTTGAAAGCAAAACACTTGCTTAACAGGATGCATGAGAACATTCAAGCAACCAATGCTCCCGTAACAGCTGTATCTCTCCTCTGTTAAATACTGCTATGGTGTTATGGTTTCTCACTGAGTAAACCAACTTTCCAGCGAAAAGTCAGCAAAATTGCATCTTTCTGTCATGAAAAGCAAGACAGGATGGGCAAAGGGGTCACTAGAAATTTATCTTGGATTGGTGTTCTTGTTGGAGCAAAGACTCCCTCCCTTCCTCTACCAGACCATACCAAAACCATTGCGGGATTTCTGACTCAGTTTATACTCACCTCCTCTGCCGTCACCATAGCTATGATGGCAATCCCTTGTTCCCAGATCATCTGCCAAAAATCCTGACACGTACTCTGCAAAGGGCCCTGCGTAGCAATGTAGTCCCACTCTATGCCACCAACAGAGATCTGTAAAAGAAAGACATTAGATAAGTCACTACTGAAAATTCCCTTTCCCCAGTTCTTAAGTCGTGCATTTGAAGGTGCACAAAAGGAAAACAGACAGCAGCACTGCAGAAGTAGGAACCCGCCTTGAGTTAGATCTGCCTCTCAATTTTTAGCTGCATCTTGACATGTTAGATACAGGAGAGACTCCATGTTTACAATTATACAGGCACAGAGCTAAATGAATGTATTTTACATTTAAAGCATAATGTAAAAGTAAGTACATAGTGAGTACGTTCTCTTCAGTGAATTTAAGGTATTCCAGCCAATTCAGGTTTAGAGCAGCTTTCCTACCCTGGTGCTGTAAATGCCATTATACAACTAGAAGGTCAGAGATAGCTGATGTTTCCTTGAGGCTGGTCAGAAGAGTTACTGAACATTTGTGAACAAGCTGAAGTATAGAAGTTATGGTACCACATCATCTATACAAACAGATCTTTTTAAAAAAGACAGCAACACAACTACAAGAGCTACTCGAAGTTCTCAACTCTTGCAGAGAAAGTATGAAGCCAATTGGAGCTGCACTTCAAGCAGGTAAATGCATTGAAAAAAATGCCATGATACACACTAGAGATAGCTGATGTTTCCTTGAGGCCGGTCAGAAGAGTTACTGAAGTATAGAAGTTATGGTACCACATCATCTGTACAAACAGATCTTTTTAAAAAAGACAGCAACACAACTACAAGAGCTACTCGAAGTTCTCAACTCTTGCAGAGAAAGTATGAAGCCAATTGGAGCTGCACTTCAAGCAGGTAAATGCATTGAAAATGAATGAGCTGCCTTGAAGGCTCCTGAGGTCCCACTGCAACTTCTTCACTTTTTAAACAGAGTTTAAAGAGGGTAAAGGGGGAAACTGAAGACTATGAAAGATCAGATTTCCCCCAGGCTCCACCTGTTCCTCTAAGCATCCAAAAAAGCTTCAGCTGGGAGCCACCTTACTGCCTGTTGTGGATCTAGTCTGAGAGTACAGAAATGGAAGAAATAATAAGGATTGTTACTGCAGTTCAAAAACATCACAATCATTGCAAAGGATCCCAGTTTGTTATAAAGCTATTTGCCTCCTTAACTCTGGGAAGAATGGACATGCCCTCTGTTAACACCAGTCCACAGAGAGGAGACAGAGAGAGAAAGGAGACAGCAGATCAGTGCAGAAGCAAAATGCCGACGACCTCTCTGATAATTTACCCTCCATTATTCTGGGTAATATGAAGAACAGGTTCCTCCTTTTCCCAAAGGAACCTCTGCAACAGGAGCGAAGGAGAGAGATACGGAGGGATTCTCATTCATCTGGCCAAACCAAAACTGACAGACAAACCTATTTCCAGTTACCACATGAACTGGACAACATTTCCCCAACAGTGTTTCTCTCACCTTGATATGAGATGCATTGATGTAACCCGTGTTATTTTCTTTGGTTGGGACTAGCTCTACTCTGGTGTCATCATAGGGAAGGACATCTTGGAAGCGGTTTCTCTCAGCGTTTTCGGGAAGCCGAGCTATTGAGCACTCACCATCTCTAAGTCTCTTTTTCTGAATGCGCTCATATTCAGTGAACACCATCCCCTGCTCTAACCGCTGCTCCAGAAATTTACACTGGAAGACAGAGCACAGGAAAGCACACACAGTCACATCCTGGGGCCAGTCTATTTTAACACAGGATTCATGAAGGAGTCAATGCTTTCCAGCTATTAATGTTTATATAAACACACCAGAATAATCAGAAGCAATTTTCTTCAAGTGAAAATTAAGAAGTCTGTTACACTTCATTAGGTCATAAAGACTGTGGACACCAGTGGTGAAGGAAAAATACTTCATAGTTTCTACAGAGACAACCCAGGTGGGCAAAGAAATACTCAGCCAAATCAGGTAGCTGTGCTATACCACAAACTGCACAAGACATACTCATTAATCGCTCTGCTCAATATATATTCGTTAGATTACATCATTTGGAAAGGTCTCCTTTAACCTTATAATAAGAAAAGAGTCAACTTTGTCATTTGGATGGAGAAAAACTCTAAAGCTGTGAAACAAAACACTTGCCTCAGCCACTGAACTAATTACTCACTTCCAATATTTCACATTTTCTTTGGCTGAAGAGAGCAAACTTTGCATGCGGCAGCAAAACCTTGGATTTTTTCTGCCAGTATAATTCAATCTGTTTTATTTAATAAGCTGCTCCCTTCTCCCCCTCCTCCCCCTGATTTATTCTTTCGAAACCAAGCTCTTTCTAAATCATAAGACACTTCTGGAATTTCAGCATCTCTTTGCCAACAACAATTAGAGGAATAATATGTAAGATTTTAGCCAGAAAATTTCATCTATGTCACATGTCCCCAGCCTCTCACAGCAACTGCTCTGCGGTATCAGATCAGAACAGTGTCTTGTGTCAAATAACTGCAGTGCCAAACGAGGCAGAGGAAGGTGTAAAACCTCAACCTTACGCAATTCGCAATCAATACATCCACTGTACAAACTCCTTCATTATCTTTAGGCTAAATTCCCTCATTTAAACTGGTAACAACACGAAGCTCAGCAATGAAACAGGCATTGAATCAATCTCGTAAAATATCTGCAGGCTGGACTTTCTTTCACGTCACGTCTGTTTTGCATTGCCTCTTCTCAACTGCTTTGAGAATTACTCCCATTTTGTGTTGTGAATTCTGCCTCTACATGACTGCCCAAAGAGAAAATGCAGTGTGGTGTCTTTGACTTTATAGATTCTTCTTCTGCCTCACCACTTTGGGCAGACCTAGCTGAACGATGATACAACACAGGTCAGTCCAGGAAGAGATGGATGGCTGTAAGAGGAATAACCAACACAGACTAAATGTAGAACTGTATCTTGATAACACAACGTTAATTTCTGTCCCTTAGCATCTTTAAGGAGTGTATACCCAGCTCAAAAAGAACTTCAATTGCGTTGAAATTAAACAAGTTTTCCTCCTATGGATCTCAGTCCAAGCCTTCAGACTCCAAGGCTGACTTTCTACTGGGTGACCTGCAACCAATTTTTGTGGCCTGACTCATTAAACTGCAGCTGGTGAGAACAGGACTGTTCCTTCAGCTCCGAACCCTGCCCAGTGAGTGTCAATAAATTGAGCTAGAGGGGGGCTGAGGACACCCTGCCATGCTCAGAACCAGATTCTAGAGACTGCTGTTGGCAGAAGGTGCAGTTATCACTGCACACCTTGCTGTATCCTGTTGCTCCTTGGTCAGACGTGTGCTGACAGCACTGATCTACACAGCCCTTCACAGGCTGCACATTGACTGTACCTCAATTTCCTGCACACATTTAATGATATACAAGGCAGGCTGAAGTACATTTAGTGACGTTGGTTACCCTGACGCAAGCAAATGGAGTCCTGTATTCTGCAAAGAATGATTCCAGACCCCGATGTCCTCTCAGCGATCTGAGATCTTTCACTGAATTTAAATTTCTGCAGACCGCACAATTTCCATCCGTATTTGTCCAGGGATTCACTTGAGGAAAATAGATAAATACTATCTGCACAAGCTGGGGATGCAATTTAACCTCAAAATCTATTGTAAAAATTGTATGATTTACTAATAATTACAACTGAGTTCAATCTCACACTCAGAATTTTAATTTTCATACGTTTTTCAGCCTAGAAAACCCACAGATTAGGAGAGAAAACAGAAAGACTTGGCACAACAGTGTATCAGTCCATGCTATTACATTTGCTTCCTATATGTTCAAAGGGTAAACTATAATGTGAATCAGTGTCATCTTAAGTCTAAAAGAAGAACCTGAGTTACACCCAACACTTCTAGCAATGACTCAGCAATCAGAAGTCTCATACTTCGTTTTGTTCCTATTCTCAGTATTTGAGCTGCTTTGAATCTAAAGCATTTTTAAGCCGACACAAAGCACCACTCATATGCATTTCATGTTGAAAAACCAGCAGTGTGAAAGAGAAAGCAAGCATTAAAAACCCCAGCGTACCCGTTCATCGTTGGTTGCTCTCGTTGACTCTTCCTTCCCCTCGGCTGGCAGGGGCACTCTCGTCAAGGCCAGGCCGTTCAGGGCAGCAAGCTTCAGGGGCCCTATTTTCTTTGCATCACTTTTGTTCTTTTTCATACCCTGCAAAAGAAAAGCTAAACCTGTAAATATTCTTATATATCCGATGAAGTTGTGAAGCAGAAACCAGAGGAGTTCAATGAAGCAAAGGATCCTTCTCTGACCCCTTCTGCGAACAGCCCTGACCTTTCCTTTTCTGATAAGCGCTGCAGCGAGCTGAGGGTGGTGGGACTGCATCCCTGCAAGGACACAACACAAGTCTGTCTTCATTCCAGACAGGTTAATGAAACTGCACGAGAATGACAAATACTGTTCCCTACAGAGCTCACAACTGAGGGTGTGAGGTGACGACTCTGGATAATTTACATTCTTGGACAGAACTGGAATCAGTTTCCAACCCCAGAAATAGATAAAGATTATTCTTTACTAGACTCTTCAGTTTACAGGCACTTTTCTTCCCTGCAAGTGGGCACAAAAATGAGCATATACCTTTAAGATATTTGGATATAGTTAAATGTTTGACTAAGTCTGCAACAAACTGCACACACAAAACATGAAATCATTCAACTGCTCTTATTTCCACCCATGAGCTGCTTCTCTTTTTCCTTTGATTCTCTCCCAACCCCACTGTGGGGGAAGGCAAACAAATGGTGCATGGGTCAAACCACGGCTCATAACTACCAGAAGGAAAAGGCAGGGTATGATTTTTGGTAGACACACAGAGTCTGATAATGTATCTTTTGGAGAACAAAATACTAAGTGATTGCCTAAACGTGGTACCTTTTTCCCCTATATCCAGGTAACAAACAGGAGGAAGGAGATTTGGAAAACATACACAATTATAAGCCTAATGGAAGCTTGATGAAGGTTCATTTCATTGTGTACAGCTCCATGTACAGGACATCTGACACAGAAAACTGTGAGAAGAGTAACTTTAAATACAGAGCTCACTCCAGATTAGCTTTTGCAGCATCAGCTATGACAGTCACCACACCAGTGGAACTTACACAGTTTCACTGCAGGCCCATTTGTGCAGGAAACGATTTGCCACTAACTCAGCCAGGTGAAGTAACAACAACCAATTTAAAAAGGCAGAATAATAAGAAGAATGGTCCTCCATTAGCACCTGAAATATGCCATGGACTATAGGTAACTGAACAAGTTTAAACAATGTGAGTGGTGAGGAGTGCCAGTGAAATTGCACAGTCCCACATAGATCTTGATGTTTCTGTGAAGTGGGAATTACAAAGAAGGTGAAACTTGCGGTTGTTCACTATTTACTTCATAAAATGGGAGTAGGAGAAAGATGTGGCAAGCAAGAAATATTCAGATAAAAAGAGGTAGAGGGCAAGGCAAAAGGGAAAGGTTGTGAAAAGGGGAAGGGTTGGGGCAAAGAAGAGAAAGCAAGGAGAGAATCCATTGCCTAACGCATCAGGTCCCTCTGTTAGCTCAGAGGAAGAAAGCAAATGAACCAAAAAAAGTAAACCATCAGCTCCATCTGATTTTTCACTGAGAGGAAGCTGGCAGTGGAATGGAAGCAGTTGCTTCTGTCCCACATAAGGACAGGCAGGGCAGAATGTAGGATCTGGAACTGACTTTAAAGTAGCTTCTACAGCTGCTAGCCAGGTTAGGTGCACCAGCTGGCTTTCTGTTGGACAAATACACAAACACAACTCATACATGGCAGAGAAGGAGAGAAAAGAGCTAAGCAAAGATTATCAGGGAAAAACAGAAAAATAAAGGTCAAGCTTTAAGTTCACACGTTTTAAAAGCATCTCACACTGATTAACAGAAACACCGACAAACTCAACAAAAACCCCACACAACTGCCACTGAACAACTCAAACCAACCCAAACCAAGGAGTAACAACCACTTACACCTAGCGGGGGAAGGCCTTCCACAATATTCTTCTTCCCAGACAACAGATCGGACACAGGTCTCTTCTTTACCGAATCTTTCCTTACTCTGTATCTCCCTGATGTTGTAAGGTCAGATTCTGACATGGATGGAGTAAGCAGTCCTTCCCCTCTTCTCTGCACCTGGCTTTCTACTAGTAAATGAACAGGGCTCATATCTTTCATTCTCTTTTCTGTCTCTGTAATATGTAATTTAGGCTCAAGAATATGTAAAGGGCCAGCGGGCGAAGCAACAGAGCTATAGGGGTAGTTCAATACTGAATCATGAGAATAGCCACCCATAACAGATGAAAGTTGGGTTTGATCTTCAGGGAGCGGAGAAAGACTTGTACCAGCCTTGTTCTCTTCTTCGAATTCTTCTTCTTCCTCACTGCTGTGGATCAGCATAGTGGCATCTGAAAGGGTTTTCTTATGATCACAGTTCACACCTTCTTCTTGCTCATTCTCCTTCTGCTTTGTTCTCTCTATCAGAATGTTGGGCTGTGACCCTTCTGAGATAATTCTTGGAAGAGCCACATCTGCTGCAGAAGCTGACATGGTCCTCTCTTTAATCCTTATCCCTTCAAAGCCGGGAGTCAAGCCTGCTATTTCAATGCTGTTCCTTTTCTGCAGCTGAGCGTGGCGTGCCGATGTGAGAGGTTCACTGACTTCCTGGAGAGAGTGGGCCACAGGCAGGCTGTCTTCCTGAAACGTCTGCACCGAATGATGCACTCTCCTCGTGATAAGATCTGGGTTGCTGCTGCTGATGTAGATGTGTCGGGACAGGTCTGGAGTACTGTTTGCAGGTCTGGGGTACGGGTACGGGGGAGGCGGTCGATAGACCTGGGTCTTCATTATATTTGGTGCTGGATAGTCCTGAGCTTGGAGCTGCACGTTCGTCAACTCGGGCACGCTGACTGCCCCAACAACTGGGCGCTTCTCAGCAGGATAGGGATAGGGGGACTGGCTGTGAAAACTGTAGTTCAGGTTAAACGGATAATGGTTCGATTGCGGGGAAGTGAAGTGAGCGTGTTCTCGTATTTCAGGCTGACTGTAAACTAAGGCATCGGGCCTGCTGTAAGCGTAGGAATTGCTGATGTTAAGATTTCTCATTGAATGGCTCTGCCTGTCTGTGTGCACCATTCCCCTGTTGAGCTGCCTCATCACAGTTTCATAGTCTGGCGTGGGACGATAAGAAGGTGGTATTAGTGCACTGTGCCTATGTGATGGGACATAATCAGTCCGGAGGACATCGCTTCCAGTGATGCTTGGGTTAGAGGACATGGGGGACGGCTGCAAGTAATGCTGTGGGTTGTTCAAGGAGTTTGTGCTGTGCGCGCTGTAGACGCTACCGTTGCGGATCCGACCGCTGTAGTCATGAGGGGCTCTATCCAAGCTAGTCTGAGAGTGACAGTAGTAGCCGTTCTGACTGCTCACAAAGAGGTTATCTGAAAGTAAAGTTTAAGAGCAATGCTTACATCCAAGATATCATCAAACCAAGACATTCTCTATTAAGAGGCAGCTAACCAATGTTTGACATTTTAAACGTCTCCGTTATTCTTAGCTGTGTATTGAATTGAGAAGGAAAAGCCTCAGAAGAGAACAATTAAGTCATTGCTTTAGAAGCCTTTCGTGATTTAACTCTTCAAGTTCACCAGAATCACTGCCACACTTATGTTAACGAAGCTGCTGACAATCAAAAATTCTTTTGTTTGCGAAAAAAATGTTCAAAAATAGGACATGTGTAGGTGCAAGTGAAAAGCACCACAACTTTCACTGTGTCCAGCAATGATTTCAACACTATCGGAAACAATTCCACTACATCCTGAATTTATAGACCTGTATCCTCATGAATACTAGTGTAACTCTATTTAGATGGAAAATGGGCTTATTCCCTTACCAGTGAGTTGAGTATTTTTAAATCCAGCTGACTTGTAGGACTGGAAAGTCCCTATCAGAGCTGAGGTAACTCTGCAGAGATTAGATTAAGCTCTTTTGGAAAGCAACTTTGTTAACTGAAGGCATCACGTGTAACAATAAAAAAAAAGGAAAGAAAAGAGCCACGACTTTTCAGATCAATATTGACAAGGATCTCAAATGCCATAAAGTACCAGTCTGGTACCTTAAAACATGGCAGCTTAAACTCACACAAGGGACCATTCTAGAGCTGTATATGCTATCATAATTCACTTTGCTCGTATCCCACATTTCACATCAGCCTACACACCTAGAGTACCAGCAGACACTTCAGTGAGTGTTGCAGTACAAACCTATGCCATATTCACTATATGAATTTATTCAGCTCTAGCTAAAGTACCTGTAAAACGCAAATTACAGCTTTTACCTTCTAAAGTTGTGTAGTGTGGACCTAGATTTAATGAACTTACCTTGGGAGGATGCATATGGTTCAGTATAATGACCATTGTAATGCAGCTGAGGTGGTGGAGGCATCATATAAGGCTGAGGCTTGGGCTAAGAAAGGAAGCATCTTATTGTTAGTTAAAACCTCCTGATCTGGTTTAAAAATAAGTCTTGAAGATTTATAGATATAAATATATATATACACACACACACACACACACACATATATAAAATGAAACATCATATATATAATGTATAATAGATACAAAGTCTTAGTCTTAAACCATTTCTTTAAATCTGCAATGTAAG